ATTGTAAAGTACACACAAGAATTCGGTGTCAGAATGTTCTTTTAAATGACCCCAGTTAAAAAAACAGCCACATTTAAACACGTCTGTTTTTTGGGTTTCATACCAAAGTGTTACACAATCTGATACTGTTCATGCAGACTAGCAGATTCTAGATTTATGCATGATTTACTGCAGGACCTTTTTCATAAAGTGTGGCAATGCATTATTAAACGAACACACATTGAACTCTCTTATCGCCAATAACCAGTTACAATAATTTCCAGAGAACATCACTTAAGTTGTTTGCCAACCGACTGTAATGGCAGTATCGCTGGTAGTAAAAACAGATGAGCTGGCAACAAAAGAAAAGAATGATATTGCTTCCTAAATGTAACACTTCTAACAGGTTTATGATGTTAACTACAATAGTCATCTCTCAGGGATCTCGTTCAAATATAAATGAAAGACTTTCTGGTGATGATTTTGTTTTGCATAAAAACAATCAAAGTTAATATTGTCATGTTGATGGTGGTGTTCTCTCACCTGCCGTGTCCTTCTCCCCAGCAAAGAATCATGAGATTGAACTTTCCATTTCCCTCATCAACCAGGTTCCTTGTGTACCTGCAGAATGAGAATTTTTAACCAACAGGGAGACAAACTGTACCGTATTTATCATCGCCGCTGTTACAATTAAATGATGAAGAGCAAAACTGTCCTGAGTTGAAAGACTGCTTTACACGTAATCCTTTATTCCACGTTTAATCGTTAAAGGACGAGCTTTAATTTCCGTGTGAGTACAGAACGTTGATCTTTAACTGCTTGATTTGTTTTGAATGTCTTGACATAATATGACACATTGATTTCCTTTAAAAAAAATGAAAATAAAAGTATTGAAATATCCACCAAGTAAAATGATTGTAAAACTGTACAAGTCCCACAGAAATGTAAGAACCAAGCAGTCAAAAAGGACTTTGACTTTGGAAAAAAACCAATTACTTTTTCTAAATTGTTCTTGTTATTAAAATCATTAAATCACATCGCTCTTTAATTTTAGTATAGTGAACATTAACCAATCACGAGGCCTACTTATTTAAACACGTTCTGGGAAGGGGTGGTAATGTTTTTGCATAGGCCTACATGCCAAAGAAAAATGCAATTTGTAAGGTGTTAAAAGGGGTCATTGACTCCTAAATTGTGCAATCTATTTTTCCACATCAAAAGCCTGCGAAAACAATATTTTTTTGCTGCTCAACATGTTTTTCCCATCTGTCTGCGAATGTTTTCGAGGCAGCTGCATCTCCGAACAGGCGCTCCTGCCCATCCCTGCAGGAATCGGCGGGTGTGTGTCCGAGCTCGGTGATCATTGGATGAATCTCACACCCTCCCTCCCAATGACCCTTGACTAATCACAACACATACGGGAGCCATTGAACACTTTTTGAATAGAGTGGGGCCATATTTTGAAGTGTGATAAACAAAACAGAGAACGCGTCTGACATGAGGGTTTTTCAGCTCGGCGCACAAGTCACGTTTTGAAATGAACCTTCTCTGATATCAATCTATGCAAATGGCACACGTTTAGCTTTTCTTTTCATTCAAATTGGATGTGATGAGGCTGCCGTTCTGTGTGGCGACTAAACAAATTTGTTTTTCTTTAAATTTAAGGAGGATGCTTTTTAAAAGGTAGACTTTTTTTAATAACCTATTAGGCCTACTAGAAATACGTTCTGAAGTGTGCACAGAAAATAATAGCTCGATACATTCCTATTTTTATTTTTAGCTTTCAATGCAATCATCTTTTTTTTTTTTTTTTTTTTTTTAAAATGAGGAACAACTGACATGAAATTCAAGAACAACTCAACACATTTAAGGCCTAAAGTATGATGGGTCAAATAGAGCCCATTTAAAAACAACAAAATAAGCCTAGGTGAACGACAAAGTGCATATGCATAATAAATGCGTTAAAACTGATCAGCGAAATATCAGCTTGATTTGTAATTCATATATAATTTCCTCACCTGTACTGGTCAAACTTAGCATATTTCATCCATTCCTGCGGATTGCTCTCATATGCTTCCATTATATCTTGCACCTCCTCTACATTGATGCAGTCACCCTCGAAGATTTTGTGCAGGACTTTAATCAGGTCGTCCAGAGTTTCTGGCTTCACTACCTCGGTTTGCTCCATCTCTCCGACTTCTTTTCTCAGATGTTTTTCACTTCAACTTCAAACAACAGGTTTCTCTGTCCAACTTTGTGCACTCGGTTACTTTTTTATAGGCTAGCGCCGCAATTTGGGGGCGAGCTGGTGCTGGACTGTACCATTATTGGAGAAGGTGAACATCCACAGCAGCAGCAGCGCAGTCTCATTAAAGTTAATTTTCTCACAAGCGCATAATGAAATATCGCAAGAAACACGGGGCTGCTTTCATCACACTAACTGCATAGAGATAGGACAACTTTATTTTTTTCTTGTGAATGCTTTAATGATAAATATGCATTCATCTCACACATTAAGAACTTGGACTAATCCTCTTTGAGTCCAATTCCACCACGTTGTCACAAACACAACCTCCCCCTTTTTCCTCTCGCTTTCTCACTGAGGCATTTTGTCCAACAATAGCTGTGCAGCCTCTTTCTTTGGGCCCTCTCCTCACAAATCCAGACGTCCACACACACACACACACACACACACACACACACACACACACACACATACACACACACAGCTGTGAGCTATGAAGTGGGGCTGCAATTTGAAAACATGGGTAAATAAAAGCTGGATGATAGATGATCTTGTTTGGTGCCACTTGTTGAATATGGTTGAATTTTAGTGCTCTATTTCGTTTGTTTTGCTTGCATTACTTAAAGAGATTATACACTGACATTCAACTGATAAAATAATAGACTTATAAGCAGTCGACCATGCACTCTGCGATATATAGAATGTGACAAATGTTTAAGGAAATTAATATAAGAGGAAAGGACAGGAGAAAGGGGACATGCTTTATTAATACTGCAGATGATGGTTTGCTTGATTCAACAAGGTGGTTACGTCTGTCTTTGTCAAACAAAACTATAACCTGATGATGGATCGCTAGATAAACACAAGGGCCCTGTGAGAGTGAGTGAAGCACTGGTGGAACTCTACCAGAGTAATTCAGTTTATAAAAGTCAATATGAAAATAAACAAAGAAGGAATATCTTTTACTATTACATTTGGAAACTGCTACATACACTAATGGTGCTCTGTCTTTGAAAGTAGGAGTTTTACAAAATCTAAATCCTGGAGTAAATTATAGTTTCTTATTTCGGCCTCAATTATACCTCCCATCAGTAAACAGCAAGAGGCAAATTGAGTCAGTGATTTGGCGTTCTACCTGCCCTTACACGTGCGTGCAACATGTGCTGAGTCAAAAAAGAACTCAGAGACCGACTTCTGTATAAAATCAGAAACAGACTGAAAAACAGATTCTCCTATATTTCTTATCAATAGACAAGAACATATCAGACATGAAACATTCAGCACATTCCCGACCTGTACATTTGTTTTGCACTATTGCTTAAGGCAGAGTTCCCCTCAGGGACAATGATGTATATCTAATCTTCTTTTCTTATCTTGTCTTTTGTCTTTAGAGGGTAGTGTTGTTATTGTGTGTCAGCCAGTCCAGCTCTTTCACTTGCAGTTAAAAGAAATCATATAAAATGCAATTACAAATTCAGCTGGATATTCAGGAAATTGCCTCATGTTTCCACACCTTTCTCATAAGAAAACAAGATTGTTCATAATGAAGAAAACCATCATTTCTTTGAAAGCTATGACTCAGATTATTGTTGGCATCATTCTTCGAGGTGGAGAGTTTTCCCTTGAGCAGCATTAGTTAAGAAATAAATATCTAATGCCACTGCAGATGTCAGAGTTGCAACTTTGTGAAGTTTGAGTAGCACTTATTTCTTTATGAGACATGGAAAAAGTTGAATTGTCTAACACAGGTCAGGGTCTTAGACTGCGGTCTCCAGCAGGAAAACTCTGCATGTATCTGCATTGCACCAACATGTGTCAGTCTGTCTGATGAAAATCCTCCCCGGCAAAGGAAGATATTTAGGCCATGGCACAAAAAGTGCATGGTGAATGTTTCTTACATCAGAGGTTGTGGCAAGTTTTCCCCCTGAGCTGCCACATCATCAATGCCAATTTAACTGTTGCTCCACCTGGTGGATAAAGCTGTGACCTGAGCTTTTCGTTGTTTTCTTTTGGAAATATTATATCCACAAATCAAGTAAAACAAAAGTGTTTCCAATGTCAGACTTTGCTCAAATAATATATAAATACGCATTCATCTCTAAACAAAAAGTGAAAAAACAACAAGTCACCATTTATTGATGAGATACAATCAGAGAAAAAGTCGGCTATAGAATATTATTGTGAATAATATTCATTAATTAAAAATATTTGGTCTTTGTAGATAAGGTATTTTAACTGCTTAAGTCTTAAGATAACATTTATTATTATTTGATGCTATACAAATAACAGATTGATTGATTGGTAATAAATATGTTGAATATTTTAGGGCAAAAGAAATGTATCAATTCTAAAAGTCTAACCAGGGTCAAGGACTGCAAACTAGCCATGGCTAGAAGTCACATTGCTTTAATTAGATGTAACACTTCCTACATGTATTGATCCTGACAAATAAACTGATGCTTAAATAAATAAATACATAATTAATAATTCAATAATTCATTGCAAACATTTTATTTGTGATCAATCTTAAAATGAAAATAAAACATTTGAAAGAGGAAAGTGGAACAACACCACATTGGAGATATTAAACATCAAACAAGATATCGAGCCAGAGACGGTGATTTTCAAAGTAAGTTCTTGGTTAATGAATTTTGTTTTGGTTTTGACGCCACTGCATGGTTGATTTGAGTATCACTCTTTGAATCAGAGATTTTTTTTTTTTTTTAAATCTCTTTTTTTCTTCCTTGTCGTGTCGGTGGACGGCAGAGGTTTGAGCCACCGCGGCTCCTGTAGCGGCAGGAGGAGCAGCAGCAGGAGGAGGAGAGCATGACTGGTCCCTTTGACGTGGAAATATTTCCGTAACGAGGCGATGGAGGAATAGCAGCACCGTGTAGCTCCGAAGCTATCCCCGCATTAACCTGATATCCAGACGCGGGATTTAGCCCGGATCCCGGACGGGTCTGGGGTTCACGGGAGAAAACGGACTACAGTCTGTGGACAGACTGAACCCTTTGTATCCCCCGCCTCCCTCCATTCAGCTACAATCATGATTAAAGCCATTTTAATATTCAACAACCATGGGAAACCGAGGCTGTCTAAATTCTACGAACATTATGTGAGTAACATGTCATTTCACTGTTATTATCAACACATGTTTGTATTCATTAAGGTTTTTTTTTTTTGCTGGTTTGAAGGCAAAAAATGGAAAAGTACATCTGAGAAATGTCAAGCTGAACCGGGTGAAATACTTTGTTTCATGTTTTCCTGCGCAGTTGATACAATGTAGCCTTGTCTTTAAAACATTGCTGTATTATTTAATGCGTTAATGTTATGTTTAAACTGTTTGAATGGGAGGGTGTGTGTGTGTGTGTGTGTGTGTACTTCACAGTCCTGTGAACTGTTCACGGTGTATAAGATGTCAGCCTGCTGTCCCCTTTTTTTTTTTTTTTTTTTTTTTTTTTTTTAGAAATATGAATAATTAAACGTGTGCAAGCCGAAGCCGAGCTATCACATATACAGCCTGTACGAACACTGCTGTGCTCGGGTTTCTTTGGCTGTCATGTTAAATCCAGCTGTGCTGATGAATCCAGTGTGTTTTCACTGTGTCTGTTTGTGTCACATGACTTTAATGACGCCCTTGTGAGAGACTCGTGCTCTCTCCAGCTCTTCGTTAGCAATTCGCTTTATTGTCTCCAACTTGAGGTGTCATTTACCTTTCTTTTTTTGTTGTTGTTGTCTGGTAGAAAACTACAAGAATATGTCCCACGCAGGTAGAAAGCTTATGTCATATCCTCTGCTGGGCAAGCTGTGTTGCCTTGTTCTCATAATTGGATTTATAACTCAAGGTTGGCTGCCTGCCCCTTCTTCAATAATACAATAGCAAGGTGCCCTAACCAAGGAGCAAGCTCATTAATAATCTGAAAGGGTGAAACTAGTTTATTAACTGGAAAAAAAAAGACTGATAAAGAGTGAAAAGGCACTGATTAATTTCCTCTTTCGGGGTTAATGCTTTGGAGTGATTTTTCTTGCAGCAGATGAAAAAGTTTAGAGGGACTTACTCTGATAAGTTAGCATCATTATAAATCCAAAATCTGTTGGTTAACCTCCTGAAGGAAACATGATAAAGGGTCCACTGACAGTGTGATACATATGTCTACTGTCTTATAGCAGGATCACATTAGCCTGATCCTGGGCCACTCAATTCACTTAGTTTACATACATGGCTCATTCATGCACAGTCTGCCCTTTCGTCTAAAGGAAGCAGACACAGTGGTTGCATAACTAGAGCTAATGTGTCAACTACATTTACGAGTTTGATTGCCTACCTTAGCTTACACATAAAAAAAAATCATTCCTGTGTCTCCCACACAGTCAGCTCATTTCTTTAACTGTGATATCTCTTAATCAGTTGATATAAAGGCCAGGTAAGTGTATGGCCAGACATTTTTTGAGAGCTTATTGAGGGGAAATTGCCGATATGTTTGCCTTAGAAGGCTTTTTTTTTTTTTTACTCAAATATGATTTATTTGATTATACAATGTTTCGGTTGTTATCAGCATAAGGCGAGACAGTGCGCGGGAGCTTTTCTCATTGTCTTGAAGTTTTACTCCTCCGACACACCTGTCACACACTCAGGTGTGCGAAGAGAGATTTTATTTTTATTTTTTAAAGAATAAGTGTTTTTTATGAAAGCCCAAAAATGAGGAAATGATCACCATGTTTACTGTACAGATTAACGAATATTACACATTGACCTGTAAAGTACAATAACAACACATTTAACAGACAGAATAATACGTTTCTCTGTTTTCCTTTGAGGTGTTTGATGTTCGACTCACATTTCATGCACTGATACAGATTCATATTATTATTAATTTTTTTTTTAAGTTAATGCCGATAGCAGAATTTCCCGGAGCCCAAGGCGATATCGTCTTCAAACTGCTTGTTCTGTCTTACCTGCAGTACAAGACATTACATTTACATATTTTTACTGTCATAGGAAAACAGAAACCGCAAATCTGTTCTTTTTGCGTTTACATTTTTTTTCAGGCTTTTTGCTGTTATCCGATAGGACGGTGATGGACTAGGAAACCGGGGGGGGGGGGGGGGGGGGATTGACATGCCAAAAGGAGCCTCAGGCTGGAGCAAAAGTCGGCCCGCCCTCTAGCAGGACTATCATGTACATGGGCATGACCTAACCCCTAGGCCACCTGCACCCCAGTAACAGCTAGTCTTCACATTTTAGCACCCTTTGGATGAAAAACTTTCATTTTGCTCAATGAAAAGCTCAAACAACAAATTTAAGATTGACCAATTGTTTCAGATTTGGAAATCTGACACTATTTAGGTCAAACAAATATGTCATGTTTGGCAATGTTTATTTTTATTTACATTTTCTTTTTGTTAGTTGCCGTTTGACACTCTCGTGTTTTGCTTGTTCCAGCATCTGTGCCTAGAGATGGACGTGGATGTATTTGTATTTCAGGAGGATGAACTGAATTTGATGGGATTACAAGAAGCCTATGTGGATTGTGGACACACCATCTGTTGTATTAAAAGCTGAGGTGTCTCCTTACTGGCTGCAAGGATATCATATTTCACACATGCTGCTAGCTGTAGAGCTAGCTTTAGCATTCAGGTTTTTAAGTTTACTTTGTCGTTCGTCTTAGTCTGGTGTTTAGAGTGGAAGGCATGTTTTTTTTTAAGGGTGTTGCAGAGAATACAAGAAAGTGACATGATGTTTGTTAGTGCATCTTGTACTTTGTGTGAGGAGGGGGAGTGGCACTGTAGTGTTAATTAGAAGTGGATGAGAGTGACTCAGACCTATAGAGTCAAAGCAGCTGTGTGATCTAACATCTAGAGGAGAGCTGAGTGATTAATGTGCAAACACAAATTCACACAAAGTAAATGCATCAACTGTCAATCATCTCCCTCCTGACATCAGTGAGAACAAACAGCTGCTTGTTCAGGCTTAAGAGCGACCACGTCTTCAGAGTTTGGCTCTACTGATTCTCAAACGTTTCGTTTACTTGAACTACAATTCATCAATGACAGCTCATCTTTTGTTACGTTTAAAAAAAAACAAAAAAAAAAAAAACATCTTAGGCAAGGCAAGTTTGCTTTACAAAAAACTGAATATTAAGAACATTAAAAGAGATATGAAATAAGGCATAACATGACATTTAAATACAGAATATATTAAGATTTGATGTAAAAGAAAAAACAATCTTTACATTTAATTCATGAGTGGCAAACAAAATGCTGTTTTTAGCCTCTCATATATGGGTGTCATATTAAAATATGGGTGTCATATTAATGACTTAATGTCTGACAGTCGGCAAAGACTTTCAGAGACATCAGTTTGGACCTTGACAGACCGGGATCTAGACATGTTCCCTCTATTTTCTGACAGCTCATCGACCAAACAATCTATTCATTATTCTCCAATAATCTGAACATAAAAGGATAATAAAAACGATCTATAGTTGCAGCCCTGATAACCAATCATGGCAGGAAAATGACAAAATATAAACATTTGAACCAGTTGAGGGGGTTCTATGTGTTTTCATGCTTTGCACATACGGTGGGTCATCGTGTTAAAGAATCTTATATAAGGAGCGTCACAATATGAGGACTGCAAAAGTGACTTTGACTTCGTGAAGTATTGAAATATTTCAAATTATTGTATTGTATCAATGTTAAGAGTTTACTTCATGTGCCATCTTGATTTATTTTTATTTCTCTGTCATAGCACACAAAATGAGGTCTTTTATCCACTTTTCAGAGGTTGCCCTCTCCTTTCCATTTCCCTCAGGAAACAGACTCATATCAAATCAACAGGACTTCTTTCCGCGGATTGATGTGATGACGGTTACAGTTAGTCCGACAGTCCGTTGCATAATAAGCCAATCCTGATCAAGTATTTAACAGCCGTGCAATAATTCTATTTTGTATTGATTATTGAAGTCGTAGTTGGTTGTGGTATTGCACTAGAGTGCGGTATATTGAAAAGGTGTTTCTAATAACTTGCACTCTCCATTAATACATTAGAGGAGCTAAATATTAGGTACACCTTTCATCATTTTCTCCAGCACACCACCACCACCACCCACTACAACTCTTTACTAACTTTCTGACCAACAGAAAGTGTGTCACAATCAGGGTTTTCCCTTTATATCGACACAAGGCAGTAAACGTAATGGTAACAGAGTGGTTTGACATGTAACAGAGTGGGCATGATGCTGTTAAAGTACGTGAATTTACATTTATATCGCCAACAATAAAATCAGGGCAGGAAGTTCTCAACTTTGAACAGATTTAGAGAAAAGTTCAGGATAAGTAGGAAAGTTTTGGTCCATAAGAGGGTTTGGAAGTTTATTGAAACCCTCAGCACAGGAAACGTCTTCACATAAAGTTTAAAAGACAACATCATGTTTCATCTTTTTTTTTGCTTTTAGTGATGTCGTTCAGCTTCTGTCTCTGTAAACTGTGAGTAACCCTGCAAGTCACATAACCGAGTTTTAACCTTGCAGCCAGCTGCTTCGTGGACAGCCTCTTCTCTCCTTGGGCTCACTGACCTGTTATCACCCTGAGAGGACATTAGCACCCCTCGGTGAGGCTGACTCAGTGTTACAGCTGCGCACAAAAGGATTTGTACCACGGTTGTGTTTTGACTGAGGATTTCAAGTAGAGATTAAAAATGTTCTCCTGGATTTTGAGGCATTTTTTGTTGGCATTTGTATACACACCATCAATGTTTGCTGGTTATAGCCTAAAGCAACATAATGTAGACACTAGTGTTGTAATACTCAAAATCGCTCTTGGTTTCCAGACCACTTTTTGAAAGTCTAATCTTGGAATCTTATCTCAGTCTCAGACTGGGTGTACTCTGGATTTTAAATCAACACCAGTCAAGACCACCTCTGATGGGCTATTTTTCCACATCATTTCTGTGATTAGAAGGAAAATGTCTCTTTCTAAAAGAACAAACCACTTTTTAATCCCCTGGTTACAGCCGAGCTTAGTCAGTGACACGCCTGCTGCACACAAGATGATGATTTTTCATTGGTACTTATGGTCTTGGTCTTGTCTCGGTCTCTCCCTGTCTCGGTCTTGGTCTTGACTTGGTCTCGATCCCTAAATGTCTTGGTTTTGTCTCAGTCTTGGAGCACTCTGGTCTCAGGTATGTCTTGGTGTGGTCTTGACTACAACACAAGTAGACACCGGCTGAAAACGTATCTCTGTATTATTTCAGTAAATCTTTAGTCCACTCTTTAAGTCTTTTAGGACTTACAGAGTTTAAAGCAGTTCTCAGGATATTTGAGATTTCAAACACAATCTCAACAAGATTAGCAAACAAGAAGATAAGACTGCCGCGGCTCAGCTCGCACATTGAAATCATTGCCTCTGTGGCCTGTGGGTGCTGGTGTATGTTTAAATAACAGAGGAAATGGTCGGTGGTTACGAATTGTGTTTTTTCATGCAGAACCAAAAAGGAAGGGGGAGGGAACCCCCTTAATTTACCTGCCAACTGAGTCCTTCTGCTAGAAGTAATGAAATGGTTCACTGGAAGCTATTCAATGCACTAACATGCCATTATTTACCCTCATGTCTTTGTTTAACCCGCTCTGTTTCCTCATTACACCCCGCAGAATGAAGACACAGAGCAACAGATCATCAGGGAAACCTTCCACTTGGTGTCCAAAAGAGATGAGAACGTGTGTAATTTCCTGGAAGGTGGAATGTAAGTTGTCTGAATGTGAACATTTAGGAAGCAGGTTTAAATCACCTGAGTTAGCTGAGGTAAATACTCCAGTAGAGATAACTGAATCTGACTGATTCAGGGCAGCGTCCCTGGATTTTACGTCACATGATAAACAAAAAACACAAGTGGATTTAATGAATGGCAATCAATAGTAACAGTTTTTATTCATTTATCATTTATGAATGATGGAACAAACTGAGGTTTTCGTTGGACTCCACTGTCTGCACTTTCTATTGCATCAGTCTCTCTCAACATGAATCAATCAGTCTGCTAAGTTCTTAGAGACAACTTTTGTATAGTAGCACGTCGCTTGCATGTTTTTAAAACTTGTAAAAATCCCTTTGTTTAAACCTCCTTCTCCTTCTTAATCATTAGTACCCAAGGTGGGGTCCGGGTCCCTCTGGGTGGGCGACGCCAAAGATCTCAGGAGTGTACAAGGCTTTGTTAGCTCTGAGATTTACAAAATTGGATTTGCACCTATAAACTTAATGAAATCACTTACTTACAGTGTTGTGCTAAGAATTTGTGTGTGTAGGCCTATTCTGTTAGGATCTTATCAATGAATATTAGTTGATAATTTTATCAATAGTTATAAGTTTGGCGGGGGAGGGGGGTGTCCACTGTTAGTTAGAACCAGTTCTAAGTGATTTCTCAGCATTTCCTGTGGCTTGAACCTATCGATATAAAAACACGATTACTCACTTATTTTCCAACACATTAACGCGCCAACAAGTTTTAACGTCCAGTGCTCTTAGTATATGTTTCGTCTTCTCATACACACGACTGAAATAATCTCACTGTTTCTCTCTTGACCTTTTGTCTCTTCTGTGTCAGAACACTCTCTATAAGACAGGAAACGATGTTCGGCCACCTCAGCGTGAAGGGCAATAGAAGTCTATTTGTATGCATCAGAACAGATTGGGGTGTAATGTTCCTCTGTCCTTGTTTCAGGTTGATCGGAGGATCAGACTACAAGCTGATCTACAGACACTATGCCACACTCTACTTTGTGTTCTGTGTGGACTCCTCAGAGAGTGAGCTAGGAATATTAGACTTAATCCAGGTAAAAGCTGCAGTCTGTCATTAACCAGGTGTTTGTTGTGTTACATTTGATACCATGTTGTTGTTTTTTTTAAATATTTAACTTTTTTTTATTTTCAGGTATTTGTGGAAACGTTGGACAAATGCTTTGAGAATGTCTGTGAACTTGACTTAATTTTCCATGTAGACAAGGTAAAGAAACACTTTTCACCGTTTGCTTTTTAAATATGGTCTAACATATTCAGAATATTGCTGTTTGATCTTTATCATTACTTGTGGCCGTTTTGAAATAAGAAATCAGTTGTTATTTTTTCGTAAGCCGTCATTGCCTCATATTATGTTTTAATCTGAAAACCACAGAAAGACTTGTGACACTAATGGTTCTGACTTCCTAGATTTTGTAGTTGTGCAATTTGCTCAGAAAAAACTGGTTTGTCGTATGACAATCATGTTGTTATGATAAATTCCTTTTTAGGAATGAACATCTTCAAAATGACTCAATACATTCAGCTATTAAGAGGTGATACAATAATCAATGTTCACTTTAACTGAATATTTGAATAAGTGGCTGCTATATTCAAATAACAAACAACACATTTACTTAGGTTGATTAAAAAATCTACTCACTTGGAGGCGCCAGCCGCCTAGAGGTTATTGTCTGTCCTGCGGGTAGCCTGGGTTCGAATCCGTCTTGTGGCTACATTTCCATATATCACTCTCCCTCTCTCTCTCTCTCTCTCTCTCTTTTTCTGACTCTATCCACTGTCCTGTCAGTCAATAAAGTCATAAAAAGTCCAGAAATAAACCTCTAAAAAAGAATCAACCAACTAAAAATTGGCAGATTAAGCAAGGACTAATGGAGCCTTGCATTGTGCTATCATGGTCCAAAGGGGCGATTCCAAGGGGGTTGCCAGGGGCACCCTTGGTATCTCATTGGCCACCTCAGAATCATTGACATTGATTGGCTGTTGCAACAGGCTGATGACATTTCAGTGTGGTAGGAAAAGGTATACACAGGAGTATAAAATCTGTATGATATCTGAGTGTTAGTAGTTAAAGTAGATAGGATCGTTGGAGATAGAAAGTTTAAATACATGCTATTCATTTATGTGTGTACGCTCAAACTTAATGTCATCCTGCATTGGTCAGTAGAGTACCCCAGTTTGGCCACCCTAGTCAGAAACATCTGGCTCCGCCTCTTATGGTCCAACAAGAGTCGCACAGTTTTAAAAATGAAGCCAACACTTACTGGAACCTCTGTCAAACCACTGCATATTTAATACTATAAAAATGTGTGATTGTTCTATTTTCTCAGGTTCACAACATTCTTGCAGAGATGGTGATGGGCGGCATGGTCCTGGAGACCAACATGAATGAAATCATCACACAGGTGGACGCCCAGAACAAGATGGAGAAATCTGAGGTAAGCCTGACCCGGCCCGTCCGTTCCCATGTTTCGATGTATGACTTGATTCTACCTCCATACTCTCTGAGGTATTGTGTACAGTATGCAGGCATGTGTGTATGCTGCACCCTGCATGCTTTTTCTCTGGTGATCTTGTGGATGCTCCCTACCTACTCTTGAGTGTTTGTGCTCTCTCTCCGGCCTCTCCTCTTCGCTGCTGCACTGCTCTCCACACAGGTCAAGACTCGACATATTCTCTCCTGTATCCCTCAGTATAAAATACAGCATCATAGTCGGCATACTTATGATGGAGAATTAACTGTACCATCGTCTGGTGCTTCTCTGACCATTAAATCACTCAATCACCATCTCATATGTAATCATAGATTTGACATATTTTATGAAAACACATTGAATTTCTAACATTTTAATTGTTTAAGAGAAACTGTGATTTTTATACACTGTTAATGTTGGAGTAAACACTTTTCCCAATGTGTTTTGTAACAGCTATGAGTGTCCTCGCTTCAATATTTGCACCTCTGAAAGATGTTGCTTTGCTTTCCATACAGCTTCTGCTAGCAGACAAGCATAAATTTACTTATTGGACAGTTTTAATCCGACAGACAGCCAGAGACAATTCGATGAAATCATCTCAGGTTTTCAAAATGTGGATTTTAGCCCCTGATAGTCCGAAACTCAATTTCACTAATAATTTGCCTTTTTTTTTTTTTTTTTTTTTTTTTTTTTTGCAAACCACTGCAGTAAGACCTTTTGTGATCTGATTGAGTTATTTGACCAGGTTAACAACTGGCTGATATCTTTTGTTTTGCCCTAACATTTGAATTTTCACAATTTGAGCCTTAATAAAGATCTCCTATTCTAATGACCTGACCTGCATTTTGTGCTTTTAACGCCACAGAATCTTCTTTTTCGGATTGATGTTCTGTAAGCAGAGCCTTTTACTGTTCTACAATCATCAGAGCTGCTCTGTCTTTCCCTCTTGGACCTACCCTAGACCGCAGTGTGTGTATGTGTTTCACTCTGATGCTAATGCACAATGACATTGTCCATTTATATGGCAGTCTCTGGGGAACAAGGAATGACCTGTTCTCCTTCCAAACAGGCTGATTAATGACATTACTCCTTCCACATCAAACTCTCTAGATTATTATCCTCACTTTTGGCTTCAAAATTAATCGTGATAGAATCTGTACAACCTTTTTTTTTCTTCGACGATGTGGTCTATGATAGGTCCTATCACTTTTTTTCTGTGGAGATAAACTGTAATTACTTTAATCTGCTTTAACATTCCTCATTCCTCTTTTTCCTGACTCTGTCTAGTTCTTTCCATTCTTCTCTCTCTTTACAGACGTTTATCTTTCAGTCTACCAGGCAGGACAGGTAGACACAGGTACTGCTAAATTTACAACCAAGTCCTTTAACCATAAATCAAAGTTGACCTCCCCCACAAGCCCCTCTCTATAGACCTCCATGTAATAATAAACTGATGTCACTAACATACAGTAGGAATCTTTCTCAGCAGACCCAAAAATGATTCAGTTCAACAGTCCTCATCACTTTGGTGAATGTAGACCAGATTATCAAAATATCAGTATGATGCAGCCTGTAAGGAGCTTTGAAAACAGGACTTATTTGTAAAGTTAAAAGTTGAGCTGCTGTTTGTGAATTAAAGGAATCATTTAATACTTTTGGAAATATGCTCATTCCCAAGAGTCAAGAGTTCTAGGAGAGGATTAGTACCACTAACATATCTGTACGCTAGATACTGTAAACTGCTGCTGGCATGTGGTTAGCTTAGCTTAGCAAAAAGAGTGGGAACTAGAGGAAACGCCGATCAAGGCTCCATACAAAGCTGCCAACCAGAACTTCTAAAGCGCTGTCAAAATAGTTTGTTTGTTTTGTCAATAAAACAATCAAAGTTACTTTTTTTCCCCCAGGGGTTTCAGAGCATTTCAGTTGACAAGTAGTTAGTTAAACATGAAGTTACTTGTCCTGGTATAATGCCACGATGTAAACCCTGGTAAAATGACAGTTTGTCACATTGATGAAACAATGAGATGTAATTTGTTCATTTTAAGGCTTTAGAGGTGTTACTATATAACTATATATATGTGTATAGACACATACCTATATATATATTCACCCTTTAATCAAGGCTAAATGTTGCCCCCCTTTTTCACTCTTTATGCTTGGCTAAGATTAGCATCTGCTAGCTTTAGCTAAATGTTCATCTGACAGACATGAGAGTGATATTAAGTTCCTCATTTGCAACTTTTGATTAGTTGTTTAAAAATTGCTCTTTCCAGCCTCTAATACTTAAGGATTTGCTCCCTTTCTTTTTCATTAAAGCCGCTGTGATGAGTTTTGAGATTTTTATGAAGCTGACTGAAATTAATGCTGATGCCTCTATTTGACCGACAAAAGAAAACAAGACTGTCAGTAACCAGAAAGATCATTTTTTTATTAGTGATTTTTAACGCTTGCAACCAATTATGGTAGGTGTCGATGAAGTGAGTTATAACAAGCTGCAGAAACAGACTATATTTATATTTTCCACAGCAAATATTCACAATGGGTGATTGGTTTGACTCTTAAAAGTAAGCAGGATGGGGAGCTGGTTTAGCTCAGATGGTAGAGCAGGTAACCCGACTGATCAGAGGTTTAACTCCCGGCTGCGATCATTTAGGGCATCTCTCTCTCTCTTTCTCTCTCCCCACGTTTCTTGTCTCTCCTCAGCTTTCAATGTCAGAAAAAGGCTAAATCGCCCCCAAAAATGTATTTGGAAAAAAAGGCACGAACAAGATCAGCAAAGCGATAAGAATGACCTCTTTGTCCAGAATGGGCGGCAAAATCGATGCAAACTGAATGTTCCTATAGTAACGTAATGATTACCCGAATGTCACTTCAGGCTCTGGATAATTGGGATGAGCATTTTTTTTTCCCTTTTATTGAAACATATACACAACACCTAAACATTTATTTGTTAAAATATTTTCCACCAATAAATCCATTATAAAATGTATTGTTAGTTGCAGCTCTTTAGCTAACTGATGTTAAATAAAGAAAATTTTCCCCATGATCTCTTAGCACTGACATCCCTCACAGACCTGAAATGGGTTATTTCTCGAGCCTTTAATAAGGTTCATTGATGTACATACACTCGAGAATCAATCCTCTGTTGTGTGCTACACAGCTGGTGATACTATTCCTGTACATATATTAGTCACCCAGCATTTGATTTAACACCTTACTATATTAGATCAGCACAGTAGGTCTCTAGTCTACCCACTGTGAGGGAACATAATCTGGAATCTGAGTCCTGAATAGTGACCCGTGTGCTCGATCAGCATTCCTCTCTTTTAATGCCGTGGTCATCCGTCCATGTGATACGAGTCTCCTTGATTCTTGGCAGAGAAAGGGATGCCTGTTAGACAAACGGTGCATTGATATAACCTTGTGAAAGTGGATAAATCTACATTCCTCACATACTTTTTCGGGATCATCTCACTTAAAGGTCAACAAGACTCCTCATGAACATTTACTTCTCTCTGTGTTCTTCTTTAGTTAAGCCTTTGGGTCATTTTTGGGTCTTCCTGCTAAAGATTCAGTTGTAGGGGGGATCTCTAACCGCAGTGATTCTCAAATGTCTGACCACACAAGACTAAAATACATCCAATCATTTTCCTCTATACAAATGTGTTTTTTTTTTTGTTCCAAAAGCTGAAACCACCTTCATGCTTTAAAAAACACTAAATTATTTGTATGAATATTCCCATTGAGTTTCTGTGTGTTAGAGTGAAGAGCCTCCCGTGTTCCTCAGAGTAGAGCTCACATTGTAGTCTAGCACTAATTGGCTTAAAACCCCCTCATGTCATCAGTAGTTAACACCATAGACCTGAAATGGCACGATTGTCTTCTTACTCTACTCACAAATGTTGTTTCAATGTACCTAAGGTAGCTCCACTCTTTCTTGAGGTAACTCAACCCACTAGAAGTACAGCATGACCTGTAATATTTCCGCTGTTATTACCTTGATATGGTTTTTAAAATTTGACACACACAAATCTGTCTATCCAAACATCCTTTCCGTCTTCACATCCAAGTCCATTTTTCTGCTTTATCCAATTCTCTCCTCACATTTTTACCCAAATCGGTCCTCAAGAGTCCGGTGGGTTCACTTTCCAAGCAAGCTGCCTTTTTGTCCATTTAATGAATGTCCCAAACTGCTCAGTACGTCAGAATTCGTGAATGGTGTAGTTCAGTATGTCCTCACTCAGTTGATTCGTAATTGGCTCTGGTTGTGGTGTAAATCATTCTGAAACCAAATAATGCATGTGCATATGAAGCTATGAAGGCATCTGAATGTACATGTGCACATATTGTTCGTCTTAGTAGCTGTCAGTGCTTTTGCATTTTGTCAGCAGTTTTCTGTCTTAGTACTCTGTTTAGCATGTGTGTGTGTGTGTGTGTGTGTGTGTGTGTGTGTGTGTGTGTGTGTGGTGTGTGTGGGTCCAGTCTTCAGTGTTAAATGTGTTGTCATAAATAGCATGTTGCATCTTTTTTACTAATTTGTATCTTATCAACCCTCCGTGTGTGTGTTTTGTGTGTGTGTGTAGGCGGGTATTGCAGGAGCGCCTGCTCGTGCCGTGTCAGCTGTAAAGAACATGAATCTTCCGGAAATGCCCAGAAACATCAACATTGGTGACATCAGCATAAAAGTGCCAAATTTACCCTCCTTCAAATAGTGGCAGCGACAGATCCTGAACCTGCAGATGTCAGTCAATGTTTACCGTGATGCAATCTGTTTACCAAAACCTCAAATTATTTTAAAAAAACCGATGCTTTCAAAGTATACCTCCTGAAGGTTCTGTGTGATTTGGCACTACCTGTTCTGGTGTTTTCTCTTTGTTTTTCCTATTAAAGAAAAGAATATATAACTTGTTTGTTTGTTTTCTGTTTGAAGGAAAAATGAAGTATTTATTTATCACTGGTACATTCCCTCTGCCTCACTCGAGGTTGGCCGTTGCCGTTTAGCTGCTACGGTGCAGATCTGTGTCAGTTTGGAACTGAAATGATTTCACTGAATCAAGTGTTTAAAGCAGGAAGTGAAGTTTCAGGACAGTCTGATTGGTTTGGTTATTCCAGACTAGAGAATTCAATCAACAAAGAAATGAGATTGAAACCATTTGTAATATCCAATTGGAACAGGTCTGCTGCAGTATTGATAGTCATACATTACAGCTTGTTTGTAAAATCAGCGCTAATATAATAAAGGATATTATGATATTGCAGATGTGTTCTGTGACAGAAAGATAGATATATATGCTGAAATGATTTTTTTTTCCTTTTCTCTTTGTATGCAAAATATTTTAAATGATTTATCATGTCTTTTTAAATACTTCTCTTAATTTTATTCTGTGCATGACTTTTTTTTCTCATTTTTCAACATAATAAACTGTCGAAACTTAACCCTGGTTATTGTCTTTTTTCATTATTAATTACATCTTATAAAACCAACATGAACATATTTATAAGCTCTGGGTGTACTTACAAGACATTTGTTAGAACATATTTTGTGTTGAGAAAGCTCTTGCCATTTTACTATTAAACTTTTATAATGAGGTTTTTTCTTACCAAGCTTAGTGTTGGACTTATGCTCATTTTATAGACAATGATGCATTTCTCTAGATTTAAGTAGGCTACAGCACATAAAGTTTATCTTTTAATGTATGAAGCATAAAACTGAAATGCATTGTTGCAAATTACAGTGATACATTAAAATAATATTCTAAGATGGACACATTTATTGCATGAATACTTTTAGATTGGATGGTCTCTAAAATGTGTTCATAATACTAAAACACTTCAATCTTTATTGCCAGAAATGTACTCATAACAGATCATCTTCAGTGTAGTTTTGTCATTCATAAGGAAACTTCTTCATTCTGCTTTCAGCGTGGTTTCTCTTTCTTATTATCAGACAGTGAGAAACCAATTAGCATGGATTGAATAATTATTAAATTCTACAGCAGCAGATTACATCAACCCGAAAAAATAAGGAAACACTGTCTAAAACAGAGACCACGCAGCTGGTTCTCCGCTTTAGTTGTCTGCTCTGTTTGTCCATTGCGTTGCCGTAGTGACTCTTTCACTGTGCGCAGCTTTTACGCAAAGTACGCGCTAAACTGAGATGTGTCCTGAGCTTCTATAACGTTATATTACTGTTGAGAAAGTTGCGCTTACAGTCTATTGTTGTGCTAGATTTAGATTTTAAAATTAATTTAATACTTTAAACCTTTTCTTTCTCTCTCGCCACTGCGCACGCTCGAGTGTCACATGACTCTCTGCGCGTGACAACAGGAAGTAGAAATGAAAACAGAGAAGATGCCGCTGGTGCTTTGAGACTCTCAGGTCTTCATTTTTCATTTACAGAAAGCACAATGACTTCTATAATTAAAGAAACACAAAGGTGGGCAGGTTTTTCTTTATTTTCAAGAGACAAAGAGTCGATATTGTGATTAATTATTTAACACTAACGTTACGCTGGCTTTGGGTTTGCTTATGTTACTACTGTCTTCATTAAAGTCAGTATTTTCTAAATGTATGGGAAGCTATTTTACACTGACTGTTATCCTAGGATCTAATAAAGTGATTTTTATTATTTATAAAATAAGTTTTAATGTGATGCATGTTTCGTGAGAGTAGATGAGCTTGGCCTTAGTGCTTCAGTCAAACTGTGAGATAAAGACAGTCTGCTGTTTATTCTTTTACACTGCTGGAGGATAAGGCAAGTTTATTTTATACAGCACATTTCAGCAACAAGGCAATTCATAGTGCTTCACACACAACATCAAAAACATCATGACAAAAGGAAAAACGGAAGCATTAGAATAGAAAACTCACTGAAACAAAACAATTCACCATCATAACACTGAAGCTTGTGATGTATTGAAGTTGCAAGTTGTTTGCCTATACAGAAATTAAACTATTTGCGATACATATAATATAACTGACTGGAAAATAGTGATTTTTGAGTTTGTATAAAGCTGGCTCAAATTACAAAAACAATACTAGTAGTCAAGAAGAAGTCTATATAGTAGGGTTCAGGTTCACGTTCAGGTTACTTTATTTGTACCTGTAGGTACATTTGGTTGAAGGGAGAGTCACATGTACTTAATAAATAAAGACAATACATAAAACATGCAAAGTGTGAATGCACGGTATGGTCAAAGTGTGGCGGTGTTGTCACCGTTTTATATTTTTATACTTTTATTTAATTTGAGCATGAATCGAGAATAACTTGTTTTCGACACCACTGCGACACAAACACAAGTACTAGGCACCCAATATCGGTTCATTTCTTCCTTTTAGTGAACAGAAAATGCAGGCACACTTTGCACTCTGTCTAAAAAGCACAAATACGTCAAATTTGGTCTATTTAGTCTGCGCAATTCTCCTTTGCGTGCCACTTTTGGTTAAATATATATATATATTTTTAAATATTTATTTTTGGGCTTTTTGTGCCTTTAATTTTTATGAGATAGGACAGTGGATAGAGTCGGAGATCAGGGAGAGAGAGTGGGGAGTGACATGTGGGAAAGGAGCCACAGGCTGGATTTGAACTTGGGCCGCCGCTTGGAGGACTACAGCCTCCATACATGGGGCACGCGCACTAACCACTGCGCCACCAGCGCCCCAGCTTTTGGTTAAATATGAATCTTTTTTACTTTTCTATAAGCAACTGAGACCGTATCGTTTTAAAACACCTGGTATCGGAAAGTGCCCAAGTATCAACAATTTTGCCATCCTTAGCATACTGAGAAATTACTTGGCAATCACTGGTTTGTCCCTCTGTGTGTTCTATTCTTAATTCTCATGTCATAAATATTTATTTATGCAGAACCTCATTTTAGTTGCAATGCACTCTGCAAAGTTTTGTTTGTGCCATTATTTATCCTGTGGAACCTACTCTAAACAATTGATGAAAAATCTCTTATGATGTTGTCAAAACAAGCGGTACTATGTCATATGTCATGTGTCGATTAATAATTTGTGCTTGTAGTCACTTTCCGTGACTCCTTTTGAAATTCTCTGAAATCTGAATCTGTTTCTCTACTAAAAAATATTTGAGTTATTGCTACGCTACCATCATCAACATTCTCGATTCTTCTCCTGACAGCATAAAAGAGGCGGTGACTTTCATCAATGCGATTGATGTGAACAAGTTCTCCAGACTGATCTCCCGCATCATACAGAAGCTTCACCTGAAGGTACAGAGACTCTACAGTGTTATCCGTGCAAAAGACAAGAGGCTTTTTGAGGCTTCTGCCGCAAAGTTGGAGTGCTAGAGAGAGCGGCATGCATAATGAGTTACTGGAGCATCAGTCAGACTCGGCTCTAATGAATGCACACACATGCCTGGCACTGATGATCATCCTGGGTTTTGCATAGCATGCTTTAACGAGGTGTCAGTCTTTAGTTCCGAGAACAACTGGCATGTCAGATTTTTTTTTCTTTTAACTTCAAGGAGAAATTTAATTTGATCAGGTCAAATAATAAAACATGAAGGAAACACAGCAAATGTACGAAGGCAATCCCTAAGGTAAACTATTAATGCCAATAATTTAAGGCTTAAAACAATACTAACAACAAAGGAGCCCTTGTTGATGTTAGTGGTGAAATTTGTCATTTTTTGCTGTCGTAACAGTGCATGCACATTGATTACATACAATGAAGTGATATGTTTATTTTGTGTTGGCCCTTCAAACTCACATCATCTGTGATCTTTCTTCAAAGGGAGAGCGGACCTTCAGTGAAGACGAGGAGCAAAAGCTTCAGACTGCTCTCTCACTGGACAAACAGGCTCTCGATCTAGTCCTGGAAACGACCGCCTTCATTCTAGAGCAGGTGAGTAGAGGCCACTTTTTATTTTTAGGAGTTATATGATTTTTTTTTTACAGGGTGCCGATTTATCAAGGTTTCTGTTTAGTATAAATAACTTGTATTTCTTTTTTTTATTTTTTTTTTAAAGAATATTAGACTATATATACATTTTAAATGTTATTAAGGAGACCAAGTAAATACGGCTGTATGAGGATTATCATTGCCTTGGATGTTAACAGGAGAAATATGATGACTCTCTCTGACCCAGTTGTACATTTTATTTGTATCCTTGAGGTTTTTTTTTATTATTACAGTGTAGTGCAGGTGCCTCCAAAGATAATTTATTTGCATGCTTAAGGGCTGCAACTAACATTTTTTTTCCATTGTCAATAAATGCCAAGAGACATTTCTCACTTTATGAGACAATAAAGAGAATCTTGAATCTCGAATCTGTTTACATTCTCAATGTGTTGTTTGGTCCTCTGCCATGTTAAGGGAAAGATAGTACTAAATATAGATGCTGCTTAAGGTCAGATTTTCTTTCGAGAAATCTATAAAGAGCTCCACTCTAACAAAGTACTACATGTAGAAATGAGTGGTCTGATTTCTGAGACGTTCATGCGGATCATGTTATGAGCACATTTCACCAGCTGGGGTCACTGTTGTTTTACAAATCGTTGTATTGTCGCAGTGATGAGTTGGGTGTTGTTGGAAAAATGAACAGGACTGTAACAGTGTTCTTTTAATGCTGGAAAACTTGGTGAATGGTAACATTTATTACACTGATACTACTCTACCCTTTGTCTCCTCCCCTCGTCAGGCTGTGTATCATAATGTGAAGCCGGTCGCTCTGCAGCAGCAGCTGGAGGCGGTTCATCTTAACCCGGACAAGGCTGAGATGTTCTCTCAAACCTGGGCCGCTACTGGACCTGAGCTGGTGGAGAAACTAAAGAACAATATTTTTGCCCCGAAGAAGGTAAGGCTCATAAACAAGTGTAAGGTCCCTGTGGCTCCCTGTCACTGACTGTTTTACAGCCAAGACATTTTAAGCCTTAAAATCATGTGAGATGAATCCACTGAGTTACTATGGCAGCCTGCTATTACACTGTTTTAAGTGACGTTCAGCGAGGCGTTATAGACACTTGACACTAAATTGAATATAAAAACAATCCGTATTAAGACTTGCCTGCGTTTGTATGGATTTATCTGGGCTGTGTATATTACAAAGAGTGCTTTCACAGATCACACAAGTTGTCAAATTAATTTAAAAGGTGTTTCTCTCTTTGATTAGACAGTGACACTTCAAAACAGTGTTCCTTTTTAAAGTCAGGGGAATTAAGATCTAACAGAGAATAAGAAGGCAGCATGTATGCATCAGTCATATTATGATGGAACAGTTGCTGCAGCCATACATTTAGAAAGCTCACCTACCTTGGTCGATGATATTTCTCCCTCCAAAGGATTTATTGCCAGCAGCTGAAGGTCGGGGCGGCCATTGATCCTCGAGACAACCCCTGTGACTGCTGTGACTTTGGGCTAAATTAAAGTCACACTCCTTGTAACTTGCATGTTTTCTTATGAACATGTTGAAGTGGGTTACAATTACTCAGAACACGAGTAAGACGTAAGCCTCTTTAACGATCTTTTCATCTTTGCTAAATTTGCTTGTTACAAATGCAACACAACAAAAACACATACCGCAACATATGAACAAGTGATGGAGCAGAAAATCTAGATCAAATATAGACATGGAGAAAATACATTGACGAGGCTGCTGTAATATTTGTATGAATGAAAACAGCATTTAAATTAAAGTCAGTCAATAAATTGTATTGATAGATTGATTTCAGTTGATTCATTCTGACACATCATAGAGTTGCGATGTTTATTCATGCTAATGTGGATGTTGTTTCAGTTGTGAGTAATGCTGGCCAGCCCTCAGCCTCCTCACACCTGTCCTCTGATGCTGTGGAAGCACCCAGACCCGATAAGTCACACATGGTTTATTATTATGGCCTCTCTCCGCATCATAAAACACTTAACTGCCCTGCCTTGACTCAGTGCTGCTAATCTATCACACTGCTACAGCGGACCGAGACTGAGAGTAATAGTCTGGCCACCTGCAGCTCTGAGGCAAAGTAACTAAAACTTTTTGGGAGATTAAGCAAAGTTTTACAGCCGTAAATCTTCATGTCTACGGCCGTGACTGTAATCATAATTCATGTCATGTTGCTTATAGGTTCATCTGGTTCGTACATGGTCACCAAACAAGTCGTTAATAGACTGTGCACACTCCATTTTAAAGGAGCAATATGTAAGATATCTACTGAATTGAATCATAAAATTAACTTCCTGTATCATCAGACATTAAGGAAACATGTTATGATGAAGTGCTGGCTTCTCTGTCAACAATGCAGCAGGTCGTATGTCCTCCTTCTAAGTTTGGATTCCGACCAACACGGCGTTTTGGACGCCCCTCAGTTTGTCAGGCATCAGCAAACCAACAGGTGTTGCAGCGACGGAAGCGGGCAGGTGAACTGGTTCAGATATAACTCATTCTACCCAACCTAAAACGCCTCTGCACTTTTCTAATAAGCTCCACGAGCAGAAACATGGTCAAACTAGGATCAATATTGGAGTTGCTTTTTGAAAATGGAGAGAGGTTAGAGCGCAGAAAGGTTTCAAAACCGCTGCACAGCTGGTTAAACACTGAGGCTTCAGTGTCCATGCCATGGCATCCTGCGTGCACATCGACTCTAGGGTGGAGGGGGCGGGGGCGACAGCTCTCACCAATGTTTTGAATTTGGACTGCAGTACCCATTTGAAACGCTAGGTGTCACAGTTACATATTGCTCCTTTAAAGAAGTTTGATTTAATTTTTTTTTGTGTTTAAAATCTTTTTTTTATAAAATCAAACCACAAATGTACGAAAGGAAGAAGTAACGATAAATAAGCAGTCCATATCTGAATTTTCTTTTAAGCAAATGAATCGTCCGTTCACCATTAGAGAGTGGGTAATGTCAAAGCTGTTTTGGTATTTTGTGACTAATATCAGCACGTAGCACGACCCCATCAACGACCTCGGAGGTGCAGACCTCTGCTTGACGTCCTCCTGTTGTTGCCCTTTGTTTACTGTGTCATGTTCTTCTTCTTCATTGAACTTATCAGCAGGCTACACTGTGTCGCACTGCTATGATATAACGCTAGAACGTAGCAGACACAACTATCGCCAACCGGCTCTGCTCAGCTTACCAGATCCGGGTTTACCGTACCAAACTGAAAGGAACCAAACCGGGACCACATTGTGGAAACGGGGCTTTAGTCTTTAAACAAAAATAATGTGTGAGTGTTTAGAGTAATTTATCTTTAAAACTTTTTCAAGAAGAAAAACAACATTTGATTTTTTAATCATGTTGTTTTGCTGCCTTTCATTCTCTTACATTAAATAGAGCATGAGGATTTGGGGGATTTTGGTCAATTGATTACAACAGAAATAAAGGTAAGCTGACATGAGATTGTGTCTCATTTACAAACAGGGCAAACTGAAATGTTTTTTCACAGAATACAGACCAACAAAACATCCTGATACACAGAAATTCTTCTTCTAAAAAAAAAACAGCACTTCTTCCACTTTTAGTGTGTGGGAACAGTCATTCCCTCGAGTGTTCATCAAGTCTTTGAAACTGTGTCTGGGGCCTTTATTAAACTGGAGTGTGAGCTTTTCTCACACCTATGTTAGTATCAGAGAAAGACCTGCTCTGTTTGTGTGTTTCAGCTGGAGTATGTCGGCTGGCAGTTAAACCTGCAGATGGCCCAGTCCAGCCAAGCCAGACTCAAGTCTCCCAGTGCCGTCCTCCAACTGGGACTCCGCAAAGAAGACTCTGAGGTGTGAACTGACACACTCAACACACACACACACACACACACACACAGAACTCCACACAGTCTAGTCCGCCATTATTCATACATCTGCTTCACTGTCCGATTTCAAAACACACTAACAGGAAAGCGAACCCTCATTTTTAACTGTAATTGTGAAAACTGCCCGTGTTTACGTCAAATGAGAAGCATCTCCAGGTCGTCCCTCTTTGTTTTCTGCTAGACCGTAATCCCGCTGGTCCTGTTTTGACCCAGAGGTACAGGCGTACATCTGGCTGCAGAGTAACTGTAGTGTAAAGACCAGAGATCAGGGAGCTTGTTATCTGAAACCTCCAGGGTCTCCTTGTCCTCCTGAGACAGTCTGTGGCAAGAATCGGTCAGGATTGTAACTTCCAGTGAGCTGCACGCGTTCATTCACAGTATCAAGGCTTTGTTTACAATTATTTTGCCTTATTGAGGTCATCAGTTTTGATTATTAATGCTCCGTCAATGACAATAGATACTAGCATCATCTTAACAAATTGAAGTGTGAGATGAGGGTTTTGGTGCAGCATCTTAATGAGACCTAAATAAAAAGTGTGAGGAAATGCACTCTGATCCAAGATGCAAATATGCTTCTTACTTAAGATTTTCCGCTCTAGTGTTTCCTGTTTCCCATTCATTTGCATTCAGCAGGGTTTGTTTGGTTCCCAATTAGCTAATGCTCTGTAGTTACTCTAATAGCCAAGATCTCATGAGCCTCCCTCACTCATTTCTTTCCCCCTCCGCTGGGAGAAGGATCACTCTGCCGCAGTAACAAAAAGGACTGAGGAACTCAAAAGGCAGTTTCTTATTTCAAATTAAACGATTCCCAACCTTTGAAGTGTGCAATTAATTTGAAATATTTCAACCAGACTTAATGTTTTGATTCTTCGAATAATTCTAAAATCTGAATACATTCTGAGTGACCTAGGAATATCCACGCGTTGTCGATGTTTTGACAAATATATGACAAATATTCTACAGATTTTAAACGCTACAAAAGGACAGCTTTTCTTTGGTAACGGATGCAGACACTCCTCAGCTATGGCCGTCAGGCGTTGGTGTCTTTAAAAGCAGTTTTGTCTCAAAATGGTGGGACTGATTATACTTGGAGCCAGGATAGGGTTGTTCCAGCTGACTAGTCAAGTGTCTTTCTTGCATGCTGCTTTGTATTCAGTCCCTGGAGAATGCCGGCTCAGCCTAAACGTGGAATTAGGCATGACATATTCAAATTGCTTCTTCTTTAAATGTGGGCCTATAGGCGATAGCTAGAGAAAATATATGTTTTTCTTTATCTTTGTGAATGCGATAGCAGTCGAATTTCTTTTTTGTTATGGACTATTTTCTGCTGTGTGCTCCCTAGGCAAGCAAAAGAGGCATTAATTTATTTAAATCCACTTACACAATTCCCCTTGTGGGAGGAGATAGCTGGTGGGCTAAAACAAGGCTGGTTGAAAGTGTTGGGGGATCAACTTCACTGAGCTTTGCTGATGTGCACCTGCTCTGCCGTGCTGCAGGGGGCACTGTTGTCTCACAGGTTGGAAAGCTTCCCTCAGGGGCGGTGAAGTATCTCAGAGATGGATAGGATACCTCGTTTAACTTTGTATTAAGGCAGTCTGAGAGTGCATTGCTTTTTTTTTTTTTAAATTTCCATCAGTGTTTTCTGATTGGAGTTTCCTGACAGCAAGCTTGTTTTCTTTCAGACTCTTTGAGAATTCCTCCTGCAACTTCTGCAATGTCAAAACACTGAGATGTGAATCAGTTGCAAATAGAGATGAAACTATGCAAGTTTCCTACTAATTGAAACACAGATTTCAAACAATATCACAGCTAACGAAGGAAAGGTACAACATGCACAGAGGAAATAATTAGAGGGTTAAAGGTGAGAGGGGTCAGTCAGAGGGAGAGGAGAGAGGAGGTGGAAACAAATAAAACAGAGCTACAGAGGGAGTAAAATAATGAAGATGAAGGGGATAAGGGACAGAAAATGAAAGAGAAGGAAAGGGAAGCGAGGGTGGCCGTCTGTATATTATTGATTGCTTGGAACCCAAGTGGAGAGTCAGAGACTTTCCCATCTGACCAGCCTCCTGCTTCATTAGCACTCTCCCCGAGGAGGAGGGGAGAAGGAGGGGAGGGGAGGAGAGGAGGAGTGCAAGGGAGCGTTACATCTCCTTCACCAAACATGTGTGGATTTTGAGAAATGGAGAAATGAGTGATCTGTTTTTTGGGTGTAACACAGTGTCAGTAACAGATAAACACTTGTTTCATTTTTTGTTTTGTTTAATTTGACCCTAAAATATGAATTTGCTTCAGGATGTATTTCTTAATATTTCCCACTGTGCCTCAAAAATAGTTTGGACTCACTACATTTATTGATATGGCGATAATTGGCTTCCGTGAGGTAGTTTGTGTAGCGCCCCTCTAGCCTTTCTCCTGAGCTGTTTTTCCGTGGAAAGTTGCTGTACTGAGGAAGCAGCAAATATTCACACAGGTAAATGTCCTCACGTCTACCTCTCGATGCATCAAGAGTCAGATCTCTAGTTCATCCTCATAAGAAGCCTCCTTCAGCATGGGCTACAGTATGAAACCTGTTGCATATCGTGTTTATTATTCTGAAAGAGGAGCTGCTGAGACAGAAAAAGACTTAAGTGATCTGCTGTCTGACGTGGAAATAAAGTTAGATAAGAAACTGGATTTGAGCACTGGGTAGAAGTAAAAGCGCGAGGATGCAGGAGAAGGTGATAGGAAGGACGGAGAGTAGAGAAAAAGAAGACGAGAAAAACTGGAGGTTGACAGCCGAGAGATGACAGTAGGAGAGGATGAAGGTGAAGTGGAAAGGGTGGGGGAGGTGACAACAAAGAGAAAACATGTGGAGGAGAGTGGGGGGTTCGTGTAAAATTCCCCAGCTATTCAGTGTGGAACTCCTGCCCTATGAATTAATGGCAGTATTGTCGAGGTAATAATAGTGGTGTGCTCCGGCTGCCTCTTAACCTCAGGCATCCAGTTGCAGTTATTAATGGTGAGCAGAGTTTCCTATTCATCAACACACACAAAAAGTACCAAGAATCAGGGCTTTTATCTCTGTTTTAATAGCGTTTTTTTAGCTAAGCACGCTATGCAGGCTGCAGATAACCGGATTTAATTTCCTCCAACTGCACAGGCCTTGAAATAGAGCACAATCTACTCATTTTAATTCTGAGGTGTTTTGTCTGCTGAGGTTTGGTCTTTGTGGGATAAGGCTGTGCACGAAAATAAGGAAGTAAAAAAACAACAACACATGGCTCTCTGCCCGCTAACTGCAGCTTCCTGTCTTAGCTGATAGAGTTTGCAGCAGCAACACATCTCCTTAGATTTTACAGACGTTATGAAAGTTCTCCCTGATTGTATCTGTGCTGCTTACAGCTGAGATAAAAGAGGACTAAATGTGAAGCACAGGAATGAAAATGATCAAAATGAAGTTTAAATTATTCGGTTTCGCAGTTGAAGATGTTTGTTTCTGGTGTACAATCAACACGAAAGACAACATGTAGCTCCCTTAAAATTAGGGCCTGACTGGTATGAGATTTGCTGGGCCGATACTGCTATCGATATTGAGAGGACAAAAAAAAGATACTGCTATATCGGCCGATATCTGTCTTAGATCTGTCTTCGTTCTGTAGAGATATATTTATTACATTTATTGTGTTGATCCCTCAAATGCTGTTTTCAAACACTCATAGAAAAGATATGTAATGAAGACAAGATAGTCGCTCAATTGAAGAGTAGCTGTGTATTTATGTGCATCACCGCTTGACACTCTGGAGGGGGATAATGCTTGTTGTAATCCATATTGTGCCCCCTGCTGGTGGCAGGAAGAAAGAGAACTGCTAGTTTTAATGAAGTGTCCAATGAAATTCATGATTAAATGCTTTTTGACTGGTGAATAAATCTAGTAATATCGGTGCATATCTGTGATAAATCTAGCTAATACCAATAGCCACTGGATATGCTAATATTGATAAATATTATCAGCTGTCCGATTAATCGGTCGGGCTCTACTTAAAAGTAGGGAAAGTGGAAACTTTTCAACAAAAAAATACAGTAGTGGGGATGGCAGGGTAACTCACAATACCATGTGATACATCACTTTCTTCCAACTTTGGCAAATTCTCTTCTCTTCAAGTTACTCTCGTTCATGCCATAAGTGGCACCGTGAGTCAAATTGTGCAGGAAAATATGTTGCGAGCGTCATTTAAAACATCAATATTTGGCACCAGTGGTTGAAGGATTTCAGTAAAAAACAACAACATATTGCATCCATACGTTGTCCCACTCCTAAGCACATATTTCTGATAGGGCTACACAGTGCTGAATATGCTAATATACGTGTTTAGGGATTTTGAACCCATGAAGTCAACATGCATTTTGGGTTTGTTTAGAAAATTGTTGTCTTTTGTATTTCACCTTTCTATTGAACGTGATAAAACATTCAACATGTTAAGACAAAGTGGTAAGGAGAGCCAAGTTAGCTGTTGGCTGCAGATAAATCGAACACAAACAAATTACATTATTAGCAAACATAACAAATGTCATATACATTTGAGATAAGTAAAAACAGGGACATTTTTCAAAATATTTGGTGAAAAGTATCAGTAAGGCATTTAGCAACAAACTCACTGCCTGATGGAGGGAGAATGATCAGGTTTTAAATGAGTGACTGTCATATTTTTTAGCATCACTAAAAATCTCTGTCTTGTGTCTCCTGGCAATGGTAATGGTTTGTCATTTGGTGGAAAAACAATTATTGTTTTTAGCACTATCAATGATATCACTAAGGCCACCGTATAGATGTCGTACAGGAAAGTTTGAGGGGCCTTCAGCAGACAGTGGCTGCAGTCATGTCACTCAGTAAAGCCTTCCTTTTTGGCTCATAAACGGCTCCCTGAGTGCCATTTATCTTCCTTACCCCTTGTGGACTGGTTAATTTTACATACTTTGAGAAGGTTT